CCTAGGGATGGTATGCACGCCTACTAGGGACGGTATGTACGCCTTCTAGGGACGGTATGTACACCTACTAGGGACGGTATGCACGCCTACTAGGGACGGTATGCACCCCTACTAGGGACGTTATGCATCCCTACTAGGGAAGGTATGCACGCCTATTAGGATCAGTATGTAGCCTAATAGGGGCAGTATGCACGCTGACTATGGACAGTATGCACCCATACTAGGGAAGGTATGCACCCCTACTAGGGACGGTATGCACGCCTACTAGGGGCAGTATGCACGCCTAAAAGGGGCAGTATGCACGTCTACTAGGGAGAGTATGCCTGCGTACTATGGACGGTAGCACGCTTCTAGGGACAGTATGCACGCCTACTTGGGATGGTATACACGCCTACTAGGGACGGTATGCACGCCTACTAGGGGCGGTATGCACGCCTACTTGGGACAGTATGCACGCCTACAAGAGATGGAATGCACGTCCACTAGGGGACGGTATGCACACCTACTAGGAACGGTATGCACGCCTACTAGGGGCAAAATGAACGCCTACTAGAAGCGGTATGCACGCCTACTAGGGACGGAATTCACGCCTACTAGGGACGGAATTCACGCCTACTAGGGGCAGTATGAACGCATACTTGAAACGGTATGCACGCCTAGGGACGGTATGCACGCCTACTTCGGACCGTATGCATGCCTACTAAGGGCGGTATGCACCCCTACTAGGGGCATTATGCACGCATACTTGGGACAGTATGCACGCCTACTACGGACGGTATGTACGTCTACTAGAAGGCAGTATGCACGCCTTCTCGGGACAGTATGCACGCCTAGGGACAGTATGCACGCCTACTAGGGACAGTATGCACACCTACTATTGACAGTATGTACCCCTACTAGGGACAGTATGCACCCCTACTATGGACAGAATGCACACCTACTAGAGACAGTATGCACACTTACTAGAGACAGTATGCACGCCTACAAGTGGCAGTATGCACGTTTTATAAGGGACAGTATGCAAGTCTACTAGGGACAGTATCCACGACTCCTAATAGCAGTATGCACGCCTACTTGGGGCTGTATGCACGCCTACTATGGACGGTATGCACCCCTACTAGGGGCAGTATGCAAGCCTTCTAGGGACAGTATGCACGCCTATGGACAGTATGCACTCCTACTAGGGACGGAATGCATGCCTACTAGGGACAGTATGTACGCCTACTAGGGACAGTATGCACGCCTACTAGGGACAGTATGCACGCCTACTAGGGACAGTATGCACGCCTACTATGGACAGTATGCACGCCTATGGACGGTATGCACTCCTACTAGGGACGGAATGCATGCCTACTTGGAGCAGTATGCACGCCTACTAGGGACAGTATGCACGCCTACTGTGGAAAGTATGCCCCCCTACAAGGGGCAGTATGCACACTGTGACGGTAACGCGTTGGTGTTCGGCTGTTTCAAAAGCTAGGGGTATGGCCTCGTCACATATAGAAACAAAAAAGAGAAGATCTGGAACTTCGTCTGTGGTAAGGTAATGGGAAGACACACAAAACACAAGTAAATTTAACAATGAGATTTTAATTACGTTAGAAAAGCAAAACATGAATAAAATGGACATAAAATTCGTATCATAAAATCAATCAATCAAAATAATAAGAATAATCAAATGGCAAAGTGAAAAGTTACGTTTAGACAAGTGAGTAATAACAAGTGAATAATAAACAATACAAAATATGGGTGCAGGAATATTGGCTTTAAGCTGCCACCTCTCTTAGTACACGTAAGCCAGAGCTTAGTCTACCAACGAGACATGTTAACTTGTGGAAAGCACTGGATATTCTGAGGTCTGCAGGTCGTGGTAGCCCCAGACATCAGGTAGTGTGGCGGTGGAGGAGCAGGTGTGACTGACCACCAGCCAATCAGCGATGAGCAGTCGACGGACAGGTAGTTTGGTGGTTCGAGTGGCGGAGGCGGAGCAGGTGTTCCTGGTGCTGAATAAGTTTGCTCTCTGGCAAACCTGGGTGTTGTACTTGTTGGATATTTCTTCCATATTAGTTGTATTGTGGTATAGGGACGAAATTAGGAGGGAAGAGCAGGCTCAATCTCTCTTGAAGGAGATTATCGTCACAACACCAACTGGGGACGGTATGCACGCCTACTGTGGACGGTATGCACGCCTACTAGGGACAGTATGCACCCCTACTAGGGACGGTATGCACGCCTACTAGGGGCAAAATGAACGCCTACTAGAAGCGGTATGCACTCCTACTACGGACGGTATGCACGCCTACTCGGGACGGTATGCACGCCCAATAGGCACGGTATGCACGCCTAGGGACGGTATGCATACTACTAGGGACAGGATGCACGCCTAATAGGGACATTATGCACGCCTACTAAGGACGGTATGCACGCCTACTAGGGACGTTATGCAGCCCTACTAGGGAAAGTATGCACGACTATTAGGATCAGTATGTACGCCTAATAGGGGCAGTATGTACGACGACTATGGACGGTATGCACCCCTACTAGGGACGGTATGCACGTCTATGGACGGTATGCACGACTACTAGGACGTTATGCACGCCTACTAGGGACAGTATGCACGCCTAATAGGGACAGTATGCACGCCTATGGACGGTATGCACTCCTACTAGGGACGGAATGCTTGCCTACTAAGGGCAGTATGCACGCCTACTAGGGACAGTATGTACGCCTACTAGGGACAGTATGCACGCCTACTGTGGACAGTATGCCCCCTACAAGGGGCAGTATGCACGCCAACTGGGGATGGTATGCACGCCTACTGGGGAGGGTATGCACGCCTACTAGGGACGGTATGCACGCCAACTGGGGACGGTATGCACGCCTACTGGGGACGGTATGCACGTCTACAAAGGACGGTATGCACGCTTACTAGGGACGGTATGCACGCCTACTAGGGGCAGAATGCACGCCTACTAGGGTCGGTATGCACTCCTACTAGGGACGGTATGCACGCCTACTCGGGACGGTATACACGCCCAATAGGCACAGTATGCACGCTTAGGGACGGTATGCACGCTACTTGGGACAGGATGCACGCCTAATGGGGACGGTATGCACTCCTAGTAACGGTATGCACGCCTACTAGGGACAGGATGCAGGCCTAACAGGGACGGTATGCACGCCTACTAGGGACGGTATGCATCCCTACTAGGGAAGGTATGCACGCCTATTAGGATCAGTATGTACGCCTAATAGGGGCAGTATGCACGCCGACTATGGACGGTATGCACCCCTACTAGGGACGGTATGCACGCCTAGGGATGGTATGCACGCCTTCTAGGGACGGTATGCACGCCTACTAGGTAGGGTATGCACCCCTACTAGGGACGGTATGCACCCCTTCTAGGGACGGTATGCACGCCTACTAGGGGCAGTATGCACGCCTAATAGGGGCAGTATGCACGCCTACTAGGGAGAGTATGCCTGCCTACTATGGAAGGTAGCACGCTTCTAGGGACAGTATGCACGCCTACTTGGGATGATATACACGCCTACTAGGGACGGTATGCAGGCCTACTAGGGACGGTATGCACGCCTACTACGGACGGTATGCACACCTACTAGGGACAGTATGCCCGCCTTCTATGGACGGTATGTCCGCCTACTAGGGACAGTATGCACGCCTACTATGGACTGTATGCACGCCAACTAGGGACGGTATGTACGCCTACTATGGATCGTATGCACGCCTACTAGGGACGGTATGCATCCCTACTATGGAAGGTATGCACGCCTATTAGGATCAGTATGTACGCCTAATAGGAGCAGTATGCACGCCGACTATGGACGGTATGCACCCCTACTAGGGACGGTATGCACGCCTAGGGATGGTATGCACGCCTGTAAGGGATGGCATACACGTCTACTAGGGACGGTATGCACGCCTACTAGGGACAGGATGCTCGCCTAATAGGGTCGGTATGCACGCCTAGGGACGGTATGCACGCCTTCTAGGAACGGTATGCACGCGTACTTGGGACGGTATGCACCCCTGCTAGGGACATTATGCACCTCTACTAGAGACGTTATGCATCCCTACCAGGGAAGGTATGCACGCCTTCTAGGAACCGTATGCACGCCTACTTGGGACGGTATGCACGCCTACTAGGGACGTTATGCACCCCTACTAGGGACGTTATGCATCCCTACCAGGGAAGGTATGCACGCCTATTAAGATCAGTATGTATGCCTAATAGGGGCAGTATGCACGCCGACTATGGACGGTATGCACCCCTACTAGGGACGGTATGCACCCCTACTAGGGACGGTATTCACCCCTACTAGAGACGGTATGCATGCCTACTAGGTGCAATATGCACGCCTAATAGGGGCAGTATACACGCCTAATAGGGGCAGTATGCACGCCTACTAGGGAGAGTATGCTTGCCTACTATGGACAGTAGCACGCCTACTAGGGACGGTATGCACACCTACTACGGACGGTATGCACACCTACTAGGGACGGTATGCACACCTACTACGGACGGTATGCACACTTACTAGGAACAGTATGCCCGCCTTCTATGGACAGTATGTCCGCCTACTAGGGCCAGTATGAACGCCTACTAGGGACGGTATGCACGCCTACTTGGGACAGTATGCACTCCTACAAGAGATGTAATGCACGTCTACTAGGGACGTTATGCATACCTACTAGGAACGTTATGCAAGCCTACTAGGGACGGTATGCACGCCTACTAGGGACGGTATGCATGTCTTCTAGGGAAGGTATGCACGCCTACTAGGGACGGTATTCACGCCTACTAGGGACAGTATGCACGCCTAGTAGGGACGGTATGCACGCCTACTAGGGATGGTACGCACGCCTACTAGGGATGGTATGCACGCCTAATAGGGACGATATGCACGCCTATTAGGGACGGTATGCACGCCTACTAGGGGCAGTATTCACGCATACTATAAACGGTATGCACGCCTAGGGACGGCATGCACGCCTACTTGGGACCGTATGCACGCCTACTAGGGGCAGTATGCACGTCTACTATGGACAGCATGTACGTCTACAAGAAGGCAGTATGCACGCCTTCTCGGGACAGTATGCATGCCTTCTTGGGACAGTATGCACGCCTAGGGACAGTATGCACACCTACTATTGACAGTATGCACCCCTACTGGGGACAGTATGCACCCCTACTAGAGATAGAATGCACACTTATTAGAGGCAGTATGCAAGCTTAATAGGGACAGTATCACGCCTACAAGGGGCAGTATGCAAGCGTACTAGGGACGGTATGCACGCTTACTAGGGACGGTATGCACGCCTACTAGTTACAGTATGCACTCCTAATAGGGACAGTATGCACGTCTACTAGGGACAGTATCCACGACTACTAGTGGCAGTATGCACGCCTACTTGGGGCGGTATGCACGCCTACTATGGACGGTATGCACCCCTACTAGGGGCAGTATGCACGCATTCTAGGGACAGTATGCACGCCTACTACGGAGAGTATGCACGCCTAGCTGATCGGGGAGCACGTCGGCTGAGCGGACAGCACGCTAGAGTTGTGATAGTGTGGTCCTACGTTCGATCCCGGGCGCCGGCGAGAAACAATGGGCATAGTTTCTTTCCCCCAATGCTCCTGTTACTTAGTAGTAAAATAGGTATCTGGGTGTTAGTCAGCTGTCACGAGCTGCTTCCTGGGGGTGGAGGCCTGGTCGAGGACCGGTCCGCGAGGACATTAACCTATCTTACCTAACTTTTCCTATGTTACCTTACCTTACCTACCTTTCCTAACTTAACCTGCTTAACCTATCTTACCTATCTTACCTAACTTTACCTATCTTACCTAACTTTACCTATGTTACCTTACCTTACCTACCTTTCCTAACTTTACCTATCTTACCTAACTTACCTACATTACCTAACTTAACTTAACCTGCTTAACCTAACTTACCTTACCTTACCTAACTTATATAACTTATCTTACCTATCCTAACGTAACCTAACTTGCTTTACCTAACTTAATCTTACATTCCCAAACTGATGTATCCTAACTTATCTAGTCAAACCAGACATGATCTAACTTAAGTATTCCTTCTTGTCTTTGTGTTTCGTCAATCATTGGCTCATATTCATTTACTCATTTCATTAGTTAATTTCTCAAATGGTCACTTATGCATTTCAAGTGCTATTTGTTAGAGATTGGATATTTAAGCATTTCAAAGAATTTTTGTTATATATGGGCATTTACTCATTTCAAGGGATAATTTCTCAAATGGACGTTTTTGCATTTCAAGTGTTATTTGTTTAAGATTGGGTGTTTAACCATTTCAAAGGATTTTTATTATATATGGGAACTTACTCGTTTCAAGGGCTAATTTCTCAAATGGTCATTTTTGCAGATCAAGGGTTATTTGTTAAAGTTCATCAAGTTGCCCATAAGTTGTATTTATTATGTTTGTTATCATATGTTCTTATTCCCCAACCCTTTAACCTAACCTCTTGTAATCTTAGTGTATTTAGTAGGTTCTATCTTATGTTCTTATTCCCCAACCCTTTAACCTAACCTTTCAGATGTAGTTTGTTGAATATATTATCCTTTTCCTAACCTTTCAGATGTAGTTTTGTTTCTCCTTTTTGTATATTTTTACCCAAACCTTCTTTCCTTCTTTACTTTGATTCTCCTACTCCTTCTAACCCTCCTTTTCTATCTCTCTCCCTTATTCTCTCTCTTCCTCCCCCTCTCTCTCCCTCATTTGCTCAAATGCTCTCTTGTTTCTCAAATTCAAGTCTTATTGCTCCCATTCTCACACCCTCATTCTCATTCACTTAGTTTTTCTTTTTCTCAATTCAAGTCTTAGTGCTCCCATGCCCACACTCTCTCTCATTCTCTCTTCTTTGGTCCCATTTTCTTCCGCCCCCTCTCTCTTACTCCTTGCTCTTCTTTCATGCTCTCACTCCCTTGAGCTCTTGTTTCTAAATTTCAAGTCTTAGTAGATCTGATTCTTTACTATTGTAATTTTTATTATTACTATGATAAAGAATGAACTTATATGTGAAAACAAAGTAAAGAAGGAAGGAAGGTTTGGGTAAAAATATACAAAAAGGAGAAACAAAACTACATCTGAAAGGTTAGGAAAAGGATAATATATTCAACAAACTACATCTGAAAGGTTAGGTTAAAGGGTTGGGGAATAAGAACATAAGATAGAACCTACTAAATACACTAAGATTACAAGAGGTTAGGTTAAAGGGTTGGGGAATAAGAACATATGATAACAAACATAATAAATACAACTTATGGGCAACTTGATGAACTTTAACAAATAACCCTTGATCTGCAAAAATGACCATTTGAGAAATTAGCCCTTGAAACGAGTAAGTTCCCATATATAATAAAAATCCTTTGAAATGGTTAAACACCCAATCTTAAACAAATAACACTTGAAATGCAAAAACGTCCATTTGAGAAATTATCCCTTGAAATGAGTAAATGCCCATATATAACAAAAATTCTTTGAAATGCTTAAATATCCAATCTCTAACAAATAGCACTTGAAATGCATAAGTGACCATTTGAGAAATTAACTAATGAAATGAGTAAATGAATATGAGCCAATGATTGACTAAACACAAAGACAAGAAGGAATACTTAAGTTAGATCATGTCTGGTTTGACTAGATAAGTTAGGATACATCAGTTTGGGAATGTAAGATTAAGTTAGGTAAAGCAAGTTAGGTTACGTTAGGATAGGTAAGATAAGTTATATAAGTTAGGTAAGGTAAGGTAAGTTAGGTTAAGCAGGTTAAGTTAAGTTAGGTAATGTAGGTAAGTTAGGTAAGATAGGTAAAGTTAGGAAAGGTAGGTAAGGTAAGGTAACATAGGTAAAGTTAGGTAAGATAGGTAAAGTTAGGTAAGATAGGTAAGATAGGTTAAGCAGGTTAAGTTAGGAAAGGTAGGTAAGGTAAGGTAACATAGGAAAAGTTAGGTAAGATAGGTTAAGCAGGTTAAGTTAGGAAAGGTAGGTAAGGTAAGGTAACATAGGTAAAGTTAGGTAAGATAGGTTAAGCAGGTTAAGTTAGGAAAGGTAGGTAAGGTAAGGTAACATAGGTAAAGTTAGGTTAGGTTAGGTTAAGCAGGTTAAGTTAGGAAAGGTAGGTAAGGTAAGGTAACATAGGTAAAGTTAGGTTAGGTTAGGTTAGGTAAGATAGGTAAGGTAGGTAAGGTAACATAGGTAAAGTTAGGTTATGCAGGTTAAGTTAGGTAAGATAGGTAAAGTCAGGTAAGATAGGTAAGGTATGGTAAGGTAATATAGGTAAAGTTAGGTAAGATAGGTTAAGCAGGTTAAGTTAGGAAAGGTAGGTAAGGTAAGGTAAGTTATGTTAGGATAGGATAGGTAAAGTTAGGTTTAGGAACGTTACGTTAACTAAGTAACATTGGGTGGAGAGGATAGGTTACGTAGGTTTGAACAGTGTAGTTCAGAGAACAGTTTAAAAGGTAAAATGTCTAAGAAAATATATTTAACAGAAGTGTAAGTTTGATATGAAAAGCTGAACTAGTTACATTTGGGGAGAAATTTTATGCCTGAAGATGTCTTAGAGAACAACAATGTTGTCTTAAAGTATAACTTGATGGAAGAAGGAGAGTTTCTTTGATGAACAAAGGTGACTTAGAGATCAACATTGATGAACGAAGATGTCTTAGAAAGCTTCTCTGATGAACGAAAGGTTACTTAGAGAATAACTTTTGTTAGCTCTTTGAATAACTTTGATAGCTCTGGGAATAACTTTTATGATTTTGAGAACATCTTTGATGTCTTGGAGAACAACATTGATGTTTAGAGAACAACTTTGATGACAGGATTAACTTTAGATGTCTCTGAGAATAACTTTATAACATAGAAATTAACTTTAGATGTCTCTGAAAATATCTTTGATGACTTCGAGAATAACATTTGATGTCTCTGAGAATAACTTTTATGTCTTACATAATAACTTTAGATGTCTCTGAAAATAACTTTGATGAAAGCAGATGTCTTAGATTAACTTTTGATGACTTTGAAAACAAGTTTGTTGAACAAAGATGTTTTGAAAGTTTCTCTGACGAACGAAGGTGACTCTGAGAATAGCTTTGGGTAGCTCTGAGAATAACTTTTGTTGTCTTATAATAACTTTTGATTGTTCTGAGAATAACTTTAGATATCTCGGAGAATAAGTTTGATGAACGAAGATATCTTACAGAGCAAATTTTATGTTTCGAAGAATAACTTTTGATGACTCTGGGAATGACTTTGTTGTCTTAGAGAATAACTTTGAGGGCTTAGAGAATGTCTTTGATGAATGGAAGAGAGTTAGAGAATAACATAACATGACTGAGAATAACTTTTGATAACTCTTAGAATAACTTTGATGTCTTAGAGAATAACTTTAGATGACTTTGAGAATGTCTTTGGATAACTCTGAGATTAACTTTGATGTCTTTGAAACAACATTGATGAATTGGAGAATGTCTTTGAGAACATGAGTAGTATTTTGTTAGCTCAGAGAATAACTTTTGTTGACATAGAGAATAACTTTTATGTCTTAGAGAAGAACATTGATGGCTTAGAGAGAATATCTTTGATGAAAGATGATGTCTTGGATTAACTTTGACGTCTCTTGGATTAACTTTGATGACTGAGAGTGAGTTAGAGATTACCTTTGTTAACTCTGAGAATAACTTTGATGAACAAAGATGTTTTGGAAAGTTTCTCTGAAGAACGAAGGCGACTCTGAGAATAACTTTTGTTAGCTCTTTGAATAACTTTGATGACTTTGAGAATGACTTCTGAGAACATGGGTAGTATTTGAATGCGTCTTTGATGTAATGAAAAGTAACTTTGATGACTCGAAGATATCTTGCAGATCAACTTTGATGACAGAGATTAACTTTTGTTGTTTTAGAGATTAACTTTTGATAGCTCCGAGAATAACTTTTATGCCTCTGAGATTAACTTTAATGAACGAAGATGTCTTAGAAAGTTCTCTGATGAATGAAAGGCTACTTGGAGAATAGCATTTTGATGACTGAGATTAACTTTTTGATGACTCTGAGAATAACTTTGAGGATGCGAGTAAATTTTTGAGTGTTTGAGAGCGTCTTTTTGTTATCTCGAAGAGTAACTTTGGTGTTACGGAGAGCACCTTTGACTATTTTTCTTACTTAACGACATATAATTTTTACGAAAGTGCTGAAA